CATCTGAAACTAATGATGTACTATATATTGGCTAATTAAACTTAAATTTAAAAAAATAATAACTGGGTAATTGTTGGCATTGCAACAGCTGTTGAGATACTAAACACCAAAATACCCTACACAGAGCTTCCCTATAACTAGTGGGCTCAACTGTGCAAAAATGAAACGGTATTTTCTGTAATCATTTTATACTTTTTCTTGAGCCCCTGTTTTCTCCCAAGAGCAAAAACAATCTTGTTGGGGAGCTTGGGTGGCTCAGGCAGTTAAGCATCCACCTTCGGCTCAGGTCACCATCCCAGGGTCCTGGGATCGAGTCCTGCATCGGGCTCCCTGCTCAGCGGGGAGTCGGCTTCTCTCTCTGCCCCTGCTGTGCTCCCTCTCTCTCTCAAATAAATAAAATAAAAATCTTAAAAAAAAAAAGATCTTGTTATTTCTAAATAAATTCCGTTAATGACTATGAAGTCATTTTAGGATTTAAATTCGGATGTTTCTGCCCTCCTTTCCATGGGGATGTGGCAAGGCTCTAGGGGACTTGGGTAAGTGCTGAGGAGGAGGTGCTGACCTCAGTCCACCCTTGCCCATGTGGCCTTCCTGTGGGGTCCTCATTCCCACAACTCTGCATCCTTTGCAGCTCTGCAAGGAGTTACACCCTCCTCAACAAAACTATGGGCCTCCTCCAGGTTCCCTAGCCCTCTTGGCACTTCTGGGACCTCCTAGGGTCTCAGGAACTTTCCCTGGCCCAGCTTGAGCACCATAGCCTTGGGCCCCGGAAGACCCCACTTAGATGCTGCTCCAAGCTCTGGTTTATGCTGGCCACATCAGTGCACAGCTCCCAGGGCTCAGGGGTCCTTGTCAACTTATCAAGGGGTCATTATCATGGCTCATTCAGCCTGCGTGTGCCTGACACAGAGTTCCTTCCCAAACTTGCAGCATGAATGGTCTCCCTACTACTCTACCCCACCCTCCCAAATTTGGAAAAACTCTCTTCCTTTCATCCCAGAAAGAGCTTTCCTCCCCTCATTCTGTGGTGAAGAAAATAGGCTTCCACATGTCACTTCCGAGTGTCTTCCTGTCACTTACAGGTGAACTTCAAACACTTAACTCTTCATTTCTTAGCCCCCCCAGTCTGACCAAGCCAGGGGCTCCTGCCAATTGAAATCCTCAGTTTCTAAGACATTACTCAGCTATGGACCGCACAAGCCTATTTTCTTTAGTGCCAAGGCTAAGAATGTGATTGTTTTTGGTCTCTGAACTTGGCCTCTAATGTTGGAAAGAAGGGCCATGGGATAGAAAGGAATACCAAGAATTAAAATGAGCAGCTAATATTTCAAAATGTTGTCCTACCCCATTAAGATCAACAGATCTTCTGTGTCTCAGAAAGTGCGCAGGGGTGAAACAAAAAGCCCAAAGAGTCACAGAGAACCCAGGCTCCCCTGGAGTGGTAAATCCCAGGGAACCACCCTCCCCTCTGAACGTTGGTGTTTACGCTATTTCAGCCCGTTTTCTATTACTTGCTGCTGAAATCATCCTATTCAAGTATGAATTTGTCTTTGAGGACATTGCTTAGTCCATGATGCAATGTCCCTTTTAAGAGGGCTGCAGGTGACAATGACTTTTGGCCTTACTTTTCTGAGTAATTGCGCTTTTGAGCATTGGCTTGTTTTTCTCACTGGATACCGTAATCACTGTAACAGTATGTGCCGGGGATTTGTTTTATTCGGGTATAATAAGACACAGAAATATCTGTCACGAAGGAAGAATAGATTCCCTAGAAATGAAAGGCGTACAGGGAACACTAGTTCAGTGAGGAGGTGGGTAGGGGGGTGTGGGGGAAGATGTCGCCAAGAGCCTCCATCGTGCCTTCCGCTGGAAAGGCAAAGTGAGGCAGGGGAAGCAGGTTTAGGGTTGGCTAGTTTGAATAACCTCCATGGGTTTGGGGGCATAGAAGCTGTCCCCGATTGTCTGCTACCTGGGCCTTGGTGATTAGGGCAAGGGGATAGTGGCCCGGAGTATGAGAGCCCACCGAGCAGGTGACTGGGGTGTGGGCTCTGGATTGGCGGGTTTGCCTATGGAAGGTGCTTAAAGGTGGGTTGTTGGCTATCTCTAGGAATTAGCTAGCCCTGGGACAGGCATTGGCCTTCGCAGGCCCCAAGCATCAGAATAAAGACATGATTAATACAATCGTATTGTAACTCCCTCTTTGCATAAACTGTTGGTGAGCTCAGAATTAAACTTACAGTGCGTTTCTACCTGCCTGTCTAACTAATCTCCCTCCTAGCTTTATCTTAGCTTTCCAACCCTCTATGCTCCAATTTCTTCATTCATTTTCATTTTATCTTTTATAATCTTAAATCCTTTTTAGACAAGAAAACACTGCAGCTTCCCACGAGGATTGGCACAAATGAAAGCATATGGTAATTTTGTAAGAGGCGATCACAAACACTACAGAACATGTCCCGTAGCTCGGACAAGAGGCTCTGCGCCTAGAATATGAATGTGACCTTCTACTGTCCTGACGTAAGAGGTATTTATGACACACTGATCTTTTTTTTTTTTTAAGATTTTATTTATTTATTTGACAGAGAGAGAGATATAGCAAGAGAGGGAACACAAGCAGGGGGAGTGGGAGAGGGAAAAGCAGGAAGTGACCTCCTACTGTCCTGACGTAAGAGGTATTTATGACACACTGATCTTTTTTTTTTTTTTTTT